TCCAGCAGAGATGGCCGTGCAATCCAATAGAAAGAGGGCCCCAGCATGGACTGATCGGGAAGTCTTGGATCTCATCGCAGTGTGGGGCGATGAGTCCGTGCTTTCAGAGCTGCGCTCCAAAAGAAGGAATGCTAAGATCTACGAGAAGATCTCCAAAGCCATGGCAGAGAGAGGCTACAGCCGGGATGCAACGCAGTGCCGCGTGAAAATCAAGGAGCTGAGACAAGGCTACCAAAAAACCAAAGAGGCTAACGGACGCTCCGGATCCCAGCCCCACACATCCCGTTTCTACGAGGCACTGCATTCCATCCTGGGAGCGGCCGCCACCACTACCCCACCCCTGACCGTGGACTCCGAGGATGGGATCATGTCGGACATGACAGCGGACGGGGAAGAGGAGGAAGGAGATGAGGAGGACGAGGCAGTCGACAGCGCTGGCACCGCTGATTTCCCCGACAGCCAGGAGCTCTTCATCACCCTTACCGAGATCCCGTACCAACCGTCCCCATCCCTTACCCCGGACACAGAATCAGGGGACGGATCAAGCAGTAAGTGCTGTAAACATGTAAACATTTATTTAAAACAGAACGGTAATATTTATACTATTAACAATGTATATTTATAAAAGTGCTGTAAACTAGTAAAAAAATAATCAGGTACAAAACAGGAATATTTACAAAGGTAACAAATGGGTTTTGCATGATTTCTCTGTCTTAGGCTCTTCTCAATTTAGTCCCAAGTATTTTAAAAAAATTTCACAATGTCCGTTACTACATGATTCCCAGGCCCAAGACGCTCCACTCCAAAGTCCCAGTGCACCTACGCGAAAATCCGGTCAATGTGGCCGGGGATCGACGAGAAATCCTCGTAGGAGAACTCCTCGTAGGTCTCGTGGAGGTAGAGCTCAAGCCTGTTGATCAGGTTCCGGGGTAGGGCGATCTTAGTGGGCCCTCCGTGGTAGCAGACATGTCCCCTCCATGCCACAATCAGGTACTCGGGGATCATGGCCCGACATAGCATGGCGGCATACGGCCCCGGTTTCTGCATGCTTTCCCGCAGCATGCGTTCTCTCTGGGTGTCCGGGATCCTCAGGAGGGTGATGTCGCTCATGACGCCCTGCTTTGAATTAGGGAGGGGACTGTTAGTATTGGGACTGCTTTACAGCCACGCGGTGGAGGGAGAGGGGCAGCATACAGGGATCTTTCCCTGGGACAGCCGCGAGGGGGTGGGACAGGGGCAGAGTTGATGCTGTCCTGATTGCTGGCAGCAGAGACTGGCATTGCTTTCAATGTGAAAGGAGGCCAGTGCTACTGCTGGAGTTTTAAGCAGCCACAAGTCTGCGGCTTACCATTATTGCCCGCTCCAGAAGTTCAGGTCTCCAGCCACAGTTCTCTGAACACTCCAAGACCTCCGCAAGTCCACAGGCACTGAAGGCGACGGCCGAAAATTCGACCTTGTCCTGAGTGCGCATGTGAGAGGTTCAGTGCATGGTCTTGTTCACAGAGAAAGACTAGGTTCTTTGTATACAATTTCATTTATCTGTCTCAGGAATTCACTCCCTTTTTAAAATTCACACAGACACATCTGCGACTGTCTCCCAACCCAGCCTGTCAGCACACTCCCAGAGGCTAGCGCAGATTAGGCGGAGGAAGAAGAAGACGCGTGAAGACATGTTCACAGAACTAATGGGCTGCTCCCGAGCCCAGGCAGCCCAGCAGACACAGTGGAGGGAGAACTTGTCACAAATGCACCGAGCAGTCATGGAACGGGAGGAGAGGTGGCGTCAGGAGGACCAACAGGCTACTGAAAAGCTGCTTGGACTAATGAGGGAGCAAACGGACACGCTCCGGCGCCTTGTGGATGTTCTGCAAGACCGGAGGCAGGAGGACAGAGCCCCGCTGCAGTCTATCTGTAACCGCCCTCACCCGCCACCAAGTCCCACACCACCCTCACCCAAAGTCCAAAGAAGGAGGGGCGGCAAGGGCCGTTAAAACTTTCAATCAACCCCTGCAGACTGCTCTAGCAGTAGAAGGCTGACATTCCCCAAAATTTCATAAGTCCTTTCCTACCCACCTCACACAAGCCCCCGTCCAAGTTTCACCCCCCACGTTTCATGTCTGGTTCGCAATAAAATGTTTGTTTCTGTTCATTACTGTTTCTGTCAGGTTCTTTTGAGGGAGAGTCTGTCTGGAGGGGGGGAAGGGGCTTGGTAATTGGACAGGACAGTCACCTTTAGCAGGGTACAGAGGCGGTGTCAGGTCCAGCATCAGGACACATACACAGTGCAGTCACTGGTTACCCTGGTCAGTCTGGGAGGTGCTTTTCATGTTTTTGGGGGGGGGGGTTGCTCTGTGACTTTGTGGCGGGGGAGGGCAGTTACAGATCTTATGCAGCGGTCCTTATCCTGGCTCACAGATCCACGCAGCAGGGGATCTGTAACCCTACCCCCCCTGCCAGAAAGTCACATAGCCGACACATACACACAGTCCCCCCCAGGAGTGCTGGCAGGCTCCATTGAAATAACCAGTCCACCAGTGCGGAGCCTGTCATTCCGGGAGTTTAGAAGTATCATTTGCATCAGAACACTAAACCCGCCCCCCGCCACAGTCTGCGTCCCCGGTTTAAAATATTCCCGCGAAAACAGCAATACAGACAACGGTGTTCATTAAAAAATCGAAATGATTTTATTTTTTGGGAAGGGGAAGGGGGTGAAGGTTGTATGTAACTGGAGAGGATAGTCAAAATGGACTGGGTAAAGAAACGGGGGCAGGTTCAGCTTTTCTGTCCACAAACTGAAAAGTCACTGGTTGCCCTGCTCACTCAGGAACCTAGCTTTCAAAGCCTCCCGGATGCACAGGGCGTCCCGCTGGGATCTTCTAATGGCCCGGCTGTCTGGCTGGACGTAATCAGCAGCCAGGCTATTTGCCTCTAGCTCCCACCCCGCCATAAAGGTCTCCCCCTTGCTCTCACACAGATTGTGGAGCACACAGCAAGCTGCAATAACGATGGGGATATTGGTTTCACTGAGATCACAGCGAGTGAGTAAGCTTCTCCATCTCCCTTTGAGACGGCCAAAAGCACACTCCACCACCATTCTGCACTTGCTCAGACGGTAGTTGAACAGTTCTTTTTCTGTGTCCAGGGCGCCAGTATAGGGCTTCATGAGCCAGGGCATTAGCGGGTAGGCTGGGTCCCCGAGGATGACTGTAGGCATCTCCACATCCCCAAGAGTTATTTTGTGGTCTGGGAAGTAAATACCTTCCTGCAGCCGTCTAAACAGACCAGAGTTCCTGAACACGCGAGCGTCATGAACCTTGCCCGGCCATCCGACGTAGATGTTTGTAAACCGTCCCCGATGGTCCACCAGTGCTTGCAGCACCATTGAAAAGTAGCCCTTTCTATTGATGTACTGGCTGGCCTGGTGGTCCGGTCCCAGGATAGGGATGTGAGTCCCATCTATAGCCCCACCGCAGTTTGGGAATCCCATCGCGGCAAAGCCATCTATGATGACCTGCGCGTTTCCCAGGGTCACTACCTTTGGGAGCAGTACCTTGACGATTGCCTTGGCTACTTGCATGACAACAACCCCCACGGTAGATTTGCCCACACCAAAGTGGTTCGCGACTGACCGGTAGCTGTCCGGCGTTGCAAGCTTCCAGAGGGCTATGGCCACTCGCTTCTGGACAGTGAGGGCTGCTCGCATGCGGGTGTCCTTGCGCTTCAGGGCAGGGGACAGCAACTCACAAAGTTCGAGGAAAGTCCCCTTCCGCATGCGAAAGTTTCGCAGCCACTGGGATTCATCCCAGACCTGAAGCACTATACGGTCCCACCAGTCCGTGCTTGTTTCCCGGGCCCAGAATCGCCGTTCAACAAAATCCACATGCCCCATTGCCAACGTCATGTCCTGGGCGCTGGGGCTCGTGGTTTCTGACAGCTCTGTGCCACTCTCCGACTTCAGGCTCTCACGGCGGTGCCGTAGCCTCCTCGCCCGATTTCTCTGCATCTGCCTCAGGGAAAGGTGTATGATAAGCTGCGAGGTGTTGAGAACGGCCACAAGTGCAGCGATGGTCGCAGCGTGATCCATGATCGCAGTGCTGTGGCGTCCGCGCTGTCACTGACCAGAAAAGTGCGCGAACTGATTTCCCGCCGGCGCTTTCATGGAGGGAGGGAGGGCGTTAGTGACGGACGGATGACGACAAATTTTTTTTACCCAGAAGGCATTGGCGGCTCGACCCAGAATTCCGATGGGCAGCGGGGACTGCGGGAACTGTGGGATAGCTGCCCACAGTGCACCGCTTCCAATATCGACGCTCGCCCCGTTAGTGTGGACTCACAAAGTCGAATTACTGTCCTTAGTGTGTCCTTAGTGTGGACACACACGTTCGACTTTGCAATATCGATTCCACATATTCGATTTAAGTAAAATCGAATTACCCTCGTAGTGTAGACATACCCTGAGTGAGGGGCCAGGAAGATGGTGGCCCTTAAGTTGTCAGCTCCTCAGGCCACAGACCTCTCCTCCACAAGGATGAGATTACAAATTCTGTCCATGTGAACTGCCACAATGAGACACGGCTCACAGTAGGCTGGGCAGATAATCAAAACATGAGGGGGAGTTCCAGCGCTGATGGGCTTCCTCCTGGAGGGTCCGAACGTGCTCGTGGGCTCTGCGGGCTCCTCCGCGACTGGAGCAAAGAAATAAGTGTCGGTAACCTGTATCTCCACCTGCGACGCCACAATGAGTCGTGCCCCGCGGTGCATGCTGCTGATCTGTGGCCCTCCCTCCCCTTTCTCACCCAGGAGGGAAGCTGACTGGAAGGCTAGCTAATAAGGAGCCCGTGAAAGTGACGCGGCGCTGAGAGGAGATTGGAGAATAAGGGCCAGGACGGGACAGGGCAGGGGGAGCAGCAACCCAACCCGGTACGGGGGCGGGGTTTACTCCTGGGGTGGATTTGTACCATATTACACGTTCCCGCCGTGGTGAGCGGAGGCCGCTGGGGAGACCGGGCAGAGGCAGCAGGGGGCGCTGGCCGGGGGCTGGGTTGGCGTTGCGGCGATGAGCAGGAAGCCGCAGCCCGGCCCTTATCAGCGGGCGGCAGGCGGGGCCGGGCCCCAGGCCCTGCGCTCCGGCTCCACGGGCGGCGTGGGGCAGCGGCTGTAGGCGCCTCCTTCTCCTGCGCCGCGGCAGGGCCGGGAAACAGCAGCAGCAACAGCGCCAGCGCGGCCTCCCCTGCCCCATGGCGGGCTACGCTCCCCGCCTGCCCCTGCTGCTGCGGAGGCTGCCGCCGCCCTGGACTCGGGCCGCCCGGCTCCCCCTGAGCGGCGCCCGGCTCCTGCTGCTCTCGGCCGGCAGGTGCGGGGCCCCAGCCGAGCCCGGCCCCTTGCGCCTCCTCCGCGGCGGCGCCCCCCGCTCTGCGTCCTCCCGGGCGGCTGGGGCGGCGGCCGGGGAGCCGGAGAGGAGGAGCAGCCCCCGGGGAAGTGGGGGAGACTCGGAGGTGAAGAGGCTGCTGGCCCTGGCACGGCCGGAGCGCTGGAGACTGACAGGTACCTGCCTCTGCCCCCTCCCAGCACCGCCTGCCCCCCAGCCCAGTGACGGTTACCTGCCCCACCCAGCCTCCGCGCCCTGCCCCATACTGTCAGCCACCCCAAGCTCACTGTGACACCAGCACCCCTTGGCAAAGAGCCTCCTGAGCTTCACAAACAGCTGTCACCGCAGACCCGACAAACTCATTGCACCCCATACATGTCTTACAGGGTACTTATGCACAAAGAGGAACGTGGAAGGGAGGTAACTTGTCAAGAGTGAGAATCTTTGTGAGATGTGTGCCCGGGTAATATTGAAGGAATCATGTATTTACCTTAAAAGTATGCTTTATAGACTTGGAGTAGAAATTAGTCACCAGGGGGATAATATGTCTTGGTAATGGCCCTTTTGGGCAAGGGGGATTTGTCACCCTCACTAACCTGATGCAATGCAAGGCTCAATTGTTTAGCTTTGCACAATGGTAAGACTTTGAATGGGACACCATCAGAGGCAATGGCAAACAACTCAAATGCCTTAAAGGTAAAAAAGGAACAGTACAACAGGACTGGGTTTGCCCTGTCTGCAAATAGAAACAAAAGGCTGCTTTCAGTATAACAGAGGAGGGAGTAGCATTCTGTATCCTTTCACTGAGGAAACCCCTTGTGAAACAGGGCTGCTTTCATAAATGTTTGAAACCTGGTGTTTGGGACAGCAGCCAACTTTGCAAACAGACTGAACTTTGGGGGGAAAGGCGGAACCTACTTTATGAGATAAGAAAGATAACTCTTGATAAGTGTAGGCCTAGGTTCATGTTTTATGATTTTGTTTTATATTGTAATCTTTTGTTTCCATCATTCTTGTTTCTAGTTAAATCCTCATTCTTAAATAACCTATCTTTTGTTTTATTATAAGTGCTTGCAAGTGTTGTGTGGTTTAAAGGGGCAGTGGTTTAAGGTAAAACTGGTAAGTTGGGGTACACTGCACTTTTGGGTGCAGAGGATATGTGATTTCTGTGAGTAGGCAATGTCAGGCTCGATATCACAGGGGAACAATTCAAAGGGACTTGGGGATTGGAGTGCATCTATTAACCTGCAAGGCGAAGTTAGGGCTGACAAAGTCCAAAAGAGAGTGCTTGAGTGATTGAAAGGCTGGTGGTGTAATGAGCTGGCACCCAGACAAGGAAGACTATCTCTCACTGGAGGTAGGGAATAACAAGATGACTCAGGGTATGCGTACACTACGAAATTAGGTCGATTTTATAGAAGTCGATCTTTAGAAAGCGATTTTATACAGTCGATTGTGTATGTCCCCACTAAGCGCATTAAGTCGGCGGAGTGCATCCTCAATACCATGGCTAGCATCGACTCACGGAGTGGTGCACTGTAGGTAGCTATCTTACAGTTCCCGCAGTTTCTGTTGCCCATTGGAAATCTGGGTTAAGCGCCCAGTGCCTGATGGGGCAAAAACGTTGTCGCGGGTGGTTTTGGGTACATATCGTCAGTCTCCTCTCTCCCCCTCCCTCCATGAAAGCAACAGCAGACAATCGTTTTGCACCTTTTTTTCCTGGGTTACCCGTGCAGATGCCATAGCATGGCAAGCATGGAGCCCGCTCAGCTCACCATTGCTGTTGTGTTTACAATGCTCACCTCGCACATTATCCTGCAGTATGTGCAGAACATGGCTAGGAGACGCCAGCACGAGGATGATTGTGAGGAGGACATGGACACAGACGTTCCTGAAAGTACAGGATGTGGCAATTGGGACATCATGGCTGCAGTGGGGCTGGTCGATACAGTGGAACGCCAATTCTGGGCCCGGCAAACAAGCACAGTCTGGTGGGACCGCATAGTATTGCAGGTATGGGATGATTCCCAGTGGCTGCGAAACTTTCGCATGCGTAAGGCCACTTTCCTTGAACTTTGTGAGTTGCTTTCCCCCGTCCTGAAGCTCAGGAATACCAAGATGAGAGCTGCCCTGACAATTGAGAAGCGAGTGATGATAGCCCTGTGGAAGCATGCAACGCCTGACTGCTACTGGTCAGTCGGGAATCAATTTGGAGTGGGCGAATCTACTGTGGAGGCTGCTGTGATCCAAGTAGCTAATGCAGTCACTGATGTTCTGCTATCAAGGGTAGTGACTCTGGGAAATGTGCAGGTCATAGTGGATGGCTTTGTTGCAATGGGGTTCCCTAACTGTGGTGGGGCGATAGACGGAATCCATATCCCTATCTTGGCACCGCACCACCTTGCCAATCAGTACATAAACGGCAAGGGGTACTTCTCAATGGTGCTGTAAGCACTGGTGGATCACAAGGAACGTTTCACCGACATCAACGTGGGATGGCCGGGAAAGATGCATAACGCTTGCATCTTTAGGAACTCCGGGCTGTTCGAGCAGCTGCAAGAAGGGACTTACTTCCCAGATCAGAAAATTACTGTTGGGGATGTTGAAATGCCAATAGTTATCCTTGGGGACCCAGCCTACCCCATGCTTCCATGGCTCATGAAGCCATACGCAGGCAGCCTGGACAGTAGTAAGGAACAGTTCAACTATAGGCTGAGCAAGTGCAGAATGGTGATAGAATGTGCCTTTGGACGTTTAAAAGATCTCTGGCGCTGTTTGCTGACTAGGTTAGAACTCAGCGCAACCAATATTCCCATTGTTATTGCTGCTTGGTGTGTGCTCCATAGTATCTGTGAGAGTAAGGGGGAGACAAATCGCCTGGCAGCTGATTTTGAGCAGCCAGACATCAGGGCGATTAGAAGAGCACAGGTAGGCGCACTGCGCATCAGAGAGGCTTTGAAAACCAGTTTCATGACTGGTATGGTGTGACAGTTTTGTGTTTCTCCTTGATGCAAACCCACCCCCTTTGTTGATTTTAATTCCCTGTAAACCAAACGCCCTCCCCCCTTCAATCACAGCTGGCAAAGGAAATATTGATTTGAAACCATGCATTCTTTCTTTCTCAATTTAAAAAAAAAGTGAGATAACTGACAAGGTAGCCCGGGTGGGGGAGGGGAGGGGAGGACAAGGCCACATTGCTTATGGTAGCCACACTACAAATCAAAACTGTTTTTGAATTAGAGCCTTCTGTTGCTTGGACCATCCTCTGAAGTGGAGTGGCTGGGTACCTGGAGCCTCCCCGTTTCCCCCCCCCCCCCGCTCCCAGCGTTCTTGGGTGTCTGGGTGAGGAGGATATGGAACTTGAGGAGGAGGGCAGATGGTTGTACAGTGGATGCAGTAGTGGTCTGTGCTCTTGTTGGCTTTCCTGCAGTTCCACCAGACATCTCATCATGTCCGTTTGCTCCCCCATTAGCCTGAGCATCGCATCCTGTCTCTTCTCATTGCGCTCACTTAATGCTTTCCTAGCCTCTGCCACTGAATCCCTCCATGCATTCAGCTATGCCCTATCAGTGCGGGAGGACTGCATGAGCTCGGAAAACATGTCATCGCGAGTACGTTGTTTTTTTTTTTTGCCTTCTGATCTGCAATAACTTCAGGGACGGAGATGATAGGGGGAGCATAGAAACATTTGCACCCGTGGGGAGATAAAAAGGGAGAGTAAAACTTAAGATGATACATTTCTGAGAACAAAAGGGAGACTCTTTCTAGTGAATCAAGCAATTCACAGCAGACAGCACATGTGCTTTAGGTACAAGGTCGCATTTTGCCTTTTTATATTGAGCGCCTGCTGGTATGGTGACACATCACACACGGCTAGGCAACAGAATTCGGTTTCCAGGCAGCCATGGTAAGCCAAAGGGTACGCGAGGTTGGCTTCTTCCGCCTTCATACCGTGGGAATGGTTTCAAACTGCAGCGCCCTCCTTTCCCATAGCAAGCAATGCTGGTTGGGTTTGCCATTTAAAAGCAGGGGCTGTGGTTTTTGGGTGAATGTGCAGCACACACCTCCCCCCACCCCACTGTGTGGCTATTCTCGGGGATGATCCCTTTTAGCCAAGTGCAAACAGCCCAGCATGAACAGGGTCCTTTTACTGTTCCCTTACAAAAATTCCCCTATTTCAACCAGGTGACCATGAATGATATCACTCTCCTGAGGCTAACACAGAAAGATATAGACCGAATGTTGCTTGAATGTGACCAAAACCCAGGACCATTCGCTGCCATGCTTTGTGCTGCAATGATTCCAGGCTACTTGCTACTGGCTTGGCGTGGTAAAGTGTCCCACCGTGGAGGAGGAAATAAGGCAGCCCTCCCCAGAAACCTTCTGCAAAGGCTTTGAGTACCTCCAGGAGAGCTTCATGGAGATGTCCCTGGAGGATTCCCGCTCCATCACCAGACACGTTAACAGACTTTTCCAGTAGCTGTACTGGCCGCGAATGCATCCCAAGTCTTCAGGGCAAATCAAACATTAAACACAATTTCTTTTAAACCCTGTAGTGTAGTTACAAATGTGCACTCACCAGAGGTGCCTTCTCTGGCTTCAGGGTCCAGAATCCCGCCTTGGGAGGGTATTGGCTCCAGGGTGATGAAAAGGTCCTGGCTGCCAGGGAGAACAGATTCACTGCCTGCCTGCTGCACATTCTCCTCCTCCTCCCTGTTGCGTGAGACTCCCCCCTTGCAGGTGTATACGGACAGTGGTGGGGTAGTGGTAGGTCCCCCTCTAGAATGCCATGCAGCTGATCATAGAAGTGGCATATATGGGGCTCTGCTGTATGTCCCTGTTGTAGCCTCTGTCTACCACGCCTTGTGCGATTTTTGGCATATCTATTAGCATTTCTTCTTTTTGATTGGAGTTCTGCCTGCACAGATTCTTCTCCCCATACAGCAGTCAGAGCCAGTGTCTCCCGTTCGGTCCATGATGGAGCTCGTTTGCGATTCTGGGGGAACTGCATGGTCACCTGTGCTGCTGAGCTTGCCACGCAGACCAAACAGGAAATGAAATTCAATATTTCCCAGGGCTTTTCCTGTGTACCTGGCTAGTGCATCGGAGTTGAAAGTGCTGTCCAGAGCAGTCACGCTGGAGCACTCTGGGATAGCTCCCAGAGGCCAATACCACC